ATGGACAATCGGGCCCAGTGATCCTTCCTAGGGTCTCTTCGAGCCTGAAAACATACTCCAGTGTCCAAACTGAACAGTGGGGCAGCTGAAGACAACTGCGGCTGCAGAGAAAGTGCGAGTCGCAGGGAAATAAAAAATGCAGGTGCTAAGCCAGGCACAGTGGCTGATGCCTGTAGTCCCAGCGCTTTGGGAGGCTGACGCAGGAGCATCACTTGAGGCCAGGAGTTCGAGACCAGCATGGGAAATATGGCAGTACTCTGTCTCTACAAAAAAAAAAATGCAAAAATTAGCCGGGCATGGTGGCATGCGCCTGTGGTCCCACCTACTCTGGGAGCTGGGATATGGGGGCTGAGGCGGGAAGATCGCTTGAACCCGGGAGGTTGAGGCTGCAGTGAGACAAGATTGCACCACAGCACTCCAGCCTGGGGGACAGAGCAAGACCCTGTCTCAAAAAAAAAATTTTTTTTTTTTTTTTTAAATGTGGGCGCTATTTTGGGACTTTGGGCTTTTCTCAGCCTCAGTTTCCCCTTCTGTAAAATGGAGTAGAACAATTATCTTCAAATATCTGCGAGAGGTGGTGCTTATGAGACATTTAGGGCAGAAAGGCAATCATCCTCAAAAAAGAAACTGACAACTGCAGCAGCTACCTGTTTTTGTAAGTAAAGTTTTATTGGCACCAGGGCCAGGATTAAAGGGAGGCAAATGAGGCTGAGTGGTGCAAGAACAAGGGTCTGATCATGTCTTAAGAGTTTTAGTGTTTTGGCCAGGCAAAACACTAAAACTCTTTGGCCTGTAATCCCAGCACTTTGGGAGGCTAAGGTGGGTGGATCACCTGAAGTCAGGAGTTCGAGACCAGCTTGGCCAACATGGTGAGACCCCATCTCTACTAAAAATCCAAAAAAAAACAAAAAACAAAAAAAACCCAGTCTGGTGTGGTGGTGGGCACCTGTAGTCCCAGCTACTAGGGAGGCTGAGGCATGAGAATAGCTCAAACCAAGGAGGCAGGGGTTGCCGAGATCATGTCACTGCACTCTAGTCTGGGTGTCACGACGAGACTCATCTCATAAATTAAAAAAAAAAAGTTTTGGTGTTTTGGCCATACACCTATAATCTCACACCTATAATCTCAACACTTTGGGAGGCCTAGGCGGAAGGATCATTTGAGGCCAGGAGTTCAAGACTAGCCTGGGCAACATAGTGAGATCCCCGTCTCTAAAACTAAGATAAAAAATAAAAGTTTTGATGTTTTGTTCATCATAAATGTTTTCATTAATCTTATGTTTTTAAAATATTATTTCTCTTGATGGCTGAGTTTTTTGGGGAGCCCTTAAATTTTGCACAGGGGTGAGATCTTCACTTGCCTCACCCTAGAACCCGTTCTGTTGTGTGTACTGGGCACTTTTTTTGTTGTTGTCTTGTTTTTGTTTTTGAGATAGAGTCTGTCTCTGTCACCCAGGCTGGAGTGCAGCGGCGCTATCCCGGCTCACTGTAACCTCTGCCTCCTGGATTCAAAAGATTCTCCTGCCTCAGTCTTCTGAGTAGCTGGGACTACAGGCGCGCGCCACCACGCCCAAGCAATTTTTTTTT